CTAACATTTTTATCATGTAAAAGCAACATAGGTTCAACTACTCAAGATTGCTTGGGCAAAGAAAGACGATGCAAACACATACAAATGTACAATGTGCTCCAACTTAGAAACCCCATTATTCTCATGAATCTGATTCCCAATAGCTTATTTTGTTTTTGTTTTTGTTTTTTACCATTAAGAAAATAAGCTATAATTACTAGTGAAAAGAGATAAAGTGTGACCTAATATTTATAATCCTAAAATAATGATACTTTCAGACCCCACTATTTTGAAGTAAAATGATACTAACATGGAATTTGAAGGTAAGAATTTTGTACTTTTATAGCTTATCTCCAGTCAAAATACCTTGCCAGTAAGAATGTATCATCTCTTATTGCACAAACTAGGAATAGGGTGGTTAAGAAATAGTACTATTTGTCACTATATATGGTAATGCCATGGGTTGAAACTTCCTTCCCCCTAGAAAAGTGAAGCATGTATTTAAAAAAATGATACAAATATAATACACAGCAGATCTTAGATGCAAATTATGGCATTAAAGAAAAATGACAAAAAAATCCTAAAACAAACGTCTAAAAAATATCTCTTCTACAGATTTTCAATGAAATAGCAAGCAGACAATGCTATTTAAATAATCTCCAAACCCAGAACTGTCAATAGCATGCTCTGCAACATACAAAAATCTAAAAATGGTCAATCTCAGTGACAATGGAAATAACACTAATCATTTACGTAACCTAACCAACTTGACAACCATGAAAAACAATTACAAGTGGCTAGGTGGTACAGTGGATAGAGCACTGGGCCTAGAATCCAGAATACCTGAATTAAAATCTGTTCTCAGACACTTACTAGGCCCAAAAAGGTTCAGTGACTTATCTCAGGTCACAGCAGATATGAAGTAGCAGGGCCAGAATTTGAACCCAGGTTCTCTAACTCTTTAAAAAAAAGAAAAAAGCACTCTTTTCAATGTACCACACTATCTGACATTTCTGCAGTTACATTTAAATTGCTGCTCCCTTTACATACTTTTACAAAACAACACAGTTGGTAGAGAGCACCTGGATATATAGTAATCCCTCACTTGCAAGATAAAGTGAATTTTCCCTCTCTTGTTAAGATCTTAACACAAACTATGGAAATGTAAGCACTGCTCTTTCTTTTCTCACTGCTAATTTCCAAAAGCTAGAAACAGGAGCATATTCCACAGGAGCAGATCACACCAATTTCCTAAGAAAATAATTTGCTAGTATTATATAATGCACTTTAAGGTTTGCAAAGTACTTAACGAAAAATCTCATTTGTATCAAGAAGCAGGTGCTATTATTATCCCCATTTTACAGATGAGGAAACTGAGACAGAAAGAAGCTGAGTGACTTGCCCAAGGTCACCCAGCCAGGAAGTGTCTGAAGCAGAAATCTAAACTCAGGTCTTCCTGATTCCAGGACAGGGACCTTATCCATTGCACCACTTAGGCGCCTGTGAAACTGTTGAGTATTTGGCCAAACATCTCCCTCTGTGGTAACTTCAAATTTTCATATTTACAAACAACATGAAGATGGAATCAATGTGTATTTTTTAATTCCCAACATGAGGCATTTTCTGTTATACAGCTCTTTCTACTTGAAAAGTGCTCCAAATACTCTGTTCACTAAGACTGACCATTCTCATGCCACTTTGAAAGAGCAGGCCCCTGGCAAATTCCATTCATTCCAATTGGAAAATGATAAAGCAAGGTCAAAGTGCAAATATGGCCCCTGACTCAAAGGTATGTTTCACTTCTGTCACCTGACTTTATATCAGAAAATAAAACAAGAAGCACATCATATCCCTTTATCAAAAGGTAGCTGTGAATACTAGTATTAAGTTAGTGCCATCAAAAATCACTCACACTCTAATAAAAGGTTAAAAGAATATAATCATATTAAGAATAGCACAATCCACATAGTTAAATATTGTTTCAACATCAAAGTACCAAAAACATGACTGAAACACACCAATAAATTCTGTTAAATCTAAACATCTGGAAACGTAGAGAACATGAACTTCTGAGAAACCCAGTCTACGGTGTCTGAACATAAGTGCTTAATAAATGCTTGATTAATTATCATTTCAAAGTACATAATTAAATAGTTAAGAATTTGTAGTGGAATGGTTGGTATAAAAAGCCAAATGTTTCATTTCTAAATCAAACAACAGTGCTACTACTCCAAACATTAAGTACGCACATATACACACACAAAAGCCACATTCTAAAAAGTTGGTGTGCTTGCTATTTCAAGTAGGAAGTTTTATACCAGAAAAGCCTTAGTGTTAGAAAATAAGTCAACCTTGCAATAACCTTTTCAATTCACAGTGGAGAATCTCAGAATACATATATTACACAGAACTCACCCAAAATTGCTATGTATTTTTCTAAACTTATAAGTCAACCTTTTGGATGTGATAAACTGAAACTAGTGATGTTCTTTAAAACAAAAAAAGTTTCTAACTTGGAAGGCAAGTCAAGGTCATTATAAGCAATAGCAATCTCTAATACACATGAATTGAATTAGTGATGTTCAACTCCTAGAGAGAAAAAATGAATAAAACACGTACTTATGTCTAGAGGTATTGTTTCTGGAGGCGGTGCTTGGGATTAGAACTCTTACTGAAAACTAGAAAAATTTTTATTATGTATATATGCAAAACCAAAGAAGGACTACTGGTCACACCTTTTATACCAATGATTTTGCTACATTTAAAAAACAAGCAGACAAAATGCTTGGACTTCCTGAAAATTGCAATCTTCTAAGAATTCCTCAGTTAGGTTCCACCATATGACAATACTGTTTCTAAACTTAACTCTTTTCTGAAAGAAAAATACACAGTGCCACCTCACTTATCTGGCAAATTCAACAACTTGGGACACAGCCAAGAACAAAGAAAGAAGCAAAAAGAGCCTCTGAACAGCCAAATTAGATGTCATGAAGCCAAAACACTAATTCAAGAGAACTTCTCAGGTCCTTGCTCAGACTTTACTTATTCTTAATTTAAAGACATCTCTAACAATCTTGCTGGTCTGGTTTCCAAATCCACAGCATAGTAAGAATATCACATTATATATCATATTCCCTGATGGTACCTGAAAAATGAGGTAGCAAAATTCTGGTCTCAGATATGCACCAGACTAAATTGACTTCGGACCTTATATGCACATGTGTGTCAGTTGACTTTACAGGACAATAACAGAACAAGAAGACCTTATTCATCATTACCTTTTTCCCCACTTCCTCAATTCACATCTTTAATTTGTGAATTCCTGAGGTGTTTTTTCTTCCTATTTCTTACTGTGCTTGCTCATCAGCATGTTTAGCAATTGTAGTCTTGTTCCCTGAGTGTAAAAGTTTTACTGCTATGATGAAGGAGTGACTTGAGAGATAGGTAGTATTATATTTCCTGTTTCAGTGAACTCTTTAAAAAGGCTGTCTCAGGTTTTTTTTTTCTGATTATGTACATTTATACTGCAACCTCTTTAACACACCACTATGAGAAGACAAGTATTTTAAGTAGTGTGAAGAGGTGTTGGGCATAATAACAAGACTAATTATAACGTAGCTCAGTGCCAAGGTACAGTAGTCTCATATCACACAGTGAAGAACAACAGATAGTAAGTAGCATATTCACTGCTGTTGAGAAATGTATCTTAATAAACAAATTTCAAGTGATTGCTTTAATGAGGGGCTTTTTGTCTGTGTCGGCAGATCTTTCTGGCACAAAGCCCACATTCAGCAGGAGTTTATTTTCTGAATTCCCTCCCCCTCCCCCTTTCTTTTTGGCTGCAGAACAAACATTTCCAATGCTTTCTTAAGGGCACATACATTTCCAGGGCTTTGACAGGTGGCAAGGGGAAAATTAATTTCTAGTTCTCCCCATTCTGTTCTCTGCCAACACACACATATCTAGCTTACCAGAACAAGATCGCCCTTAAAAGAACTGGTATGTAGTGTCAATAACTGTACAACTCTGCATTATTCCCTCCACTTTTGGAGAAATGCTTGCAAAAGAAACATGATACATTCTCACACAGCATTTCTTCAGTACAGATAAATACAGAAGCAATTAAGATGAAATTTCAGATCATACTGTCCTAGATCTAGCTAAAATCCAAAGTTTATTGATCCTACTCTGCAAAAGCAACATTTAAAAAAGCTAAATAAAGGACATTATCACTCCTTCAATAATATTACAGGTCACCCCTTCTTTTCTTGTTTTTAAAAGAAAATATATCCCAGAGGAATATTGATCCCTTTGAGCTGCTGTATTTCAATACTAGTCACAACAGTCACAATGCTGAAAATGTCTCTCGGCAAGTTTACTTGTTTTTGCCCACATGACAATTGTCGAATGTACATCTACTTGTAGGCACAAAAGTACATCCACAAAAATCTATTTTCTGAAAATTTACCCTATTTTTTGCTTACAGTATGGTTATTTTCATCCTCAACAGCCAACTCCATTCTCTTCAAGCAATTAAGGCTCCAGTCACAACTTACCAACCAAAGTCGAAAACTGTAAGAGATACTAGCTCAGAATTAATGCTTATATCATAGGATGTCTGAAATTAACCAAGTTATCCAATACTACTCTCTTTCTAAAACTCTAAGTGTTATCAAAAGAAATTCCATTTCTACAGTTTCACCTATTAAACCAGAAAGAATTACTATTTTAACCACTCACTTTCAAAAATACTAACAACTTTACTGGGAAAAAAAGAGAAACAAGAATAATTTTTAAAAGGGTGCTACTAGACAAACGATCCTTCCTTTATATAGATGGCTGTTCTACTAATATATTTTATGTAATTTATCAGACTGTTCTTAAGTCAGAAGCCAGGCGATTGTTTGATTAGAAAAGAAATTCCAGGTTTACTCTATTAGAATCTAGATCATACCTATCATTTTGGGAATCAGCAGTTTAATACATCAATAAAAGTAAGAACTATACACATTAATACTGACCTTGTTTCTTTCAATCCTTCTTTCTGAATGACTTCCAATATCTGTTTTGCAGTCATTGGTGAGTTGGGGTGTTTTTCTAATGCCTACAAAGAAATAAAATTTGCTGGTTACTGTGTGAAGTCATTTAACATAAACAATACTGTACGTAATCATGCAATTTTCATTTAAAAATCATCAAAGGACAGGGAACTTAATTGTGACATTGACTAAAGCAAGAATGAGACTTTTTGGACTTTTGTGGCATCATCTACTTCAATCAAATATGGGGAATTTTTTTTTCCAAAAAATGTAGCAAACACACTGAAAAGGGTTAAACCCAAGGATAACATGGTAATAAAGACTGACTCAACTAACCGACTAAATTAAACAGTGATTGCTAAAATTTGGTTGAGAGAGGGAAGAAACTCCTTTTGTTTTTCTTTTTTAATCACCCTTAAGCACATTATTAGTGGTTCCAGACCTTGGGAAGACAAAAGCTGGAGACTAAACTACTTAAGGAAGTAGATACTAGTCAATGATGTCTTCACAGGTTTTACATTTTAATTCTTTTTTTTTAAAGCTTAAAATAGATAATTTTTAAAGTATGGTCAAAAATGGTCAAAGCAGCACACAAGATGCCCAGATGACTCATGACAGTGTGTTTTCCAGTTCAGCTCAGTTTCCAACTCCTTTGCCTTTTCCAATTGAACAGAAGCAAAATCCCCCTCCTCTTCCCATTCAGTCCATCTCATACAGTTTTGCAAATATAAGTCCCATTTTTTTTCCTGCTCCCTTTTTAGTCCTACTTATTTCATTGTCTAGATTACTTTTAAAAACTGAGTGGGAAAGGGTACCATTTATACATGTAGTGGGTAATCTACCACCAGTCCTAGAAACCAAGCTCCTTCATTATCCAGGGACCAATTTCCTCCCAAACAAGAAATAGCAGGGTCAGGTTCTATGATGTCTCATCAATATGGCCTAGAGAGATCAGATCTTGGTGGAAGAAGTGAGTCTAATCTCCATCCATGTTCTCACCATCACCTCCACTAAGACAAACCAACAGGGTCACAGATACTGACAATTAACGCAACAGGTTTTTTGACAGGGATTCCTGCCAGCTGAGAATTGGGAAGACTTCCAATTCATTTCACAAGGGCTACAATGCAGCCATCAGAATCTTGGTTTGGATCTCTACTACTATAGGCTGAATGCCAACCAGGTCCCTAGAGGAAAAGGCTTACTTAGTACATAATGGTCCATCCAATAAGCTATCCAGCCACTTGATTACCCTCCCACCCTCCCCCACCCTCCTCTGCTACTTTACAGCTTGAGTTGACTTTCCTGTTCTTCCCTTTCCAGTTCAGATAGTTTACCCATAGTCCTTGCCCCACATTATTTTCCAATGCAGATCAGCCTTCTTACTATTTGCTTTTTTTCAGTTCTTCTAAAGAAGAATGTAGAAATATGGGCTGCACTAGAAAGGTCTGGGAGACGAACGAAACTGGTCCTGGCTGGAGACGACAGTGGAGAGCTGAACTGAAGGCTGAGAAAGGGGTAAAAAAGAAACATAGGCATGTCTGGATACGGAAGAGGAGTAAACTGGAAAATACTGAAAAAAAAAGAGGCAACAAGGAAACTGTTTAGAGCTGAAAAGGGGACAAGATTAGACCATAGAGGGAAAGGGGAAAGAACTAGACAGACATGTAAAAGCAGACAGATTTTTTTTTTAAGTAAGGACTGGAAATAAGACAGTACATAATTATAAGATACTTTAAAAGGGCATTGTAGACTCAAGGATTTGAAGGAAAAGGTTTTTCCAACTGAGAGACAAGGCTGGAGAACACTAACTTCAATCCAAAGGGATAGAAGGAAAGTCAATAGACACTGAAAAAAGGAAACAAGCAGGGAAAAGGGAAACTGGTGGGGTGGGTGGGGTAGGATAGGAAAAGGTGAATAACAGTGGAGGAAGGGTTAGAAAGGAGAAAAACTGAGCTGAACTGGTAACACTCCAAAGGGCAAATTGGGTACAACTGGAAAGGGCAGAAGAGGAAACTACACTGTACTGGACAAGGCTTTAAAGGAAACTTGGGTGCACTTGAAAGTGGGGTTACTCACTGTGGAGGACTCCCTGTTTCTCTTCCTGAGTACAGGCCCCTCAGCACACCTGGGCAGCTCCTCCCAGCAATTGAGAGAATTTGGATAGCCCTTTCCCCTTCTCTATGACATCACATCCTACTCTATAAAGGAAGTAAAAGTGCCAAGTATTACAGCATGAACTAAATGAGTAGTGGGAAGGAAATAACAAAGCTATACAAAACACTAGAAGCCACCCCCCACCCAGTTCCTACAAGATGGGGAGAGGGAGGAGGAGAGGAGGTACAGTATGCACTAAGGAAGCTGCACTGAACTGGTTGTGGGTACAATAGAACACATGAATAGAGAGAGATAATCTTCACAAAACAAAACAATAAAACCATCAAAATAATGTATAACATGGCAGAGACAAAAATCAGGACCCACAAAGGCAGCCACGCTCTTAAAAACACTGTAGTATGATACAACCACATTCAGACTAAAATGACAATAACGAGATGCAGAATACTAGGCTGAAAGCCACAGACTGATCAATTGTCCATTGTTTCATGAATTTCTTGACTCGAAAAATGACTGAGGTTTCATATATCCAACAAAATGCAACTTTACAGTAGAACTCCCTTAACATCTCAGACACAACTAGTGGGAAGTGTTCCTTTCCTTCTAATCATGCAGAGTAAATGTTCTCAATTACAGGTTTTTTTTAATTGTGCATTCCCTGACTATGGTCTGCTGTATTCTAGAAGATAATATGATAAAGATATGGATGTTAGGTATGAAGCTAAGTCAGTTAAGCAGCCAAGCCAAGAATGGAGCAAAAACAATCTTAGTCTAACTATATTCTCACAGACATTTCCTTAAGAAAAGGCCAGCAACTGCTCAGGCCAATCAAACATACATAGTAGTTACAAAATAGAATAGAAGTTACGTGGAACTTAGGACAAGAGAAAATGATTCATGTTCAGATGTAGACCTAGATATCTATTTATTACTTTTCTAGGTAAGATTATGGAAATTCTTTCTTACTGAGCATGTGACCCCTTCCAATTTCCAAGTATAAAAGTTATCTGACTTCTCAAGAGCTCTGGACCTGGATTTGAATCCCGTCTCAAATCCTTCCTTGCTATTGGTTGGTTGTTGTCCTTCATTCTCAAGAAGGACCAAAATGACATCGCTATGTTGGAGTCAAGTTACAATGTGTCCAACTGTGGCTGATCAGACCAACACAAGCTTAGAAAGCCCTACAACAGGTCAGGCACACATAGTCCCTATGAACATCTGAAATAGAGATGTCTAAATTTGCACCTCTCATGTTTCTTTTGAGCTACTGCAATTCTGCTTTGCTCATGAACAGCACCTTCTCTGATGAGGGCACACCATGCTGAGCAGTCCTGCACCAGTGTGTCCTGTGTCATGCAATCAATTCCGAAGTTCCTCAGAGAGACCTTTCGAGTAACAGATCACTTCACTTCTCCAGATTTCAGTTTCCTCTTTTGTAAAATGCCCTGAGGTCCTTTCCAGCTCCAAATCTATTATCCTACTAGCAATAACACCAATAGAAAAATTAAACTAACCTCCATTACTGCCCAAACAGGAATCTTTAGTTAAAATGTTTTCTTTTAACAAATAGCTCTCCTGTTTTTAAACTAGAGCTATCATTTCACTCCTTCCCTTCCTATGCTGCAAAATCTATATTTTCCATCTTTTATACTTCAGCTATGTCCTTCAAGCCTGATCTTCTTCTACCATTCTACCTTTAAGCAGGTTTCAAAATCTAACACCATACTAGAAATGGGAAAAGTCTTTACAGAATCAACTCTTAAAGACAAGAATAGTCAATGCTGAGATAATACAACCTGCTCCTTTCTTTGGAAATTATCTTCAATTTCCGAGTGACAGGTTGCTAGCATTGGCCAGTACTAGATTTCACCACATTTCCCCTTCCATCTATATTCTGTGATAGACTGGAGGATTCCTTGCAGAAGCTATCCAATTACGACTATCCGAAAACTATCTCCCAGAAACCCTTATCTAACACCACTCCCTCCCAGGTTACCGTGTATTTTATTTACATGTTTTATATATACATATACACATATGTACAGATATATGTATACATAATATACATATGTATACCTGCACATTTGTATGTGTGTATGCATATATTTAGTGTATGTGTATACATACGTACATATACACATATATTCCTTTACAAGGAAGACAGTATGTATGTGTCTATGTACTATATATATATATTTGTCTATATGTACACTCACACACACTATCTTTCCTGTAAGCTCCTAGAGGTAAAGGACGGGAATTGTTTGTCTTTTGCCTTTGTATGCTATCCCTAGTACTTAGCACAGTACACCTGAAACATGTTAAGCACTTAATAATGCTTTCCGGTTAAACAACTGAAGATAGTAACATAAAATGAGGAAAACACAAGGATGATATATAAAGTAATGAAAAGTTATTGTCCACCACTGCAACTTTATTTCCCTCCAAGTTTAGCTTTTGCACTAAAATAATTTTGGCCCAAAGCACCATAGAAAGAACAATTCCTTACCTATGAACTTTTTAGTGTGTCTCACACAGAGGAGTGATTTAAAGTGCCCCCAGATGAACAGATAAACTCAGAGAGATTAAGAAAATTTTCACAATGAGCCACTATACCTTAAATGTAAAGTAAAAAGATCTCTAGCTCTATCCACTCTAACAGTATTTGGGCTTTTTTTGGGGGGGATCAAATTAGCTAATAGTTTATGGGGTTTTTTTCTGAAGAAAAAAGCTCTTAGTTTTATCATTCATTTAATAACTTTTCTGTTGTTTTAAGGAGGCAAGGGAAGGAATTAAGCATTTATTAAGCACCATATACCAGACACTGTGATAAGCACATTTACAAATCATATCTCATTTGATCCTCACAACAACCCTGACAGGTAAGTGCTATTATTATCCTCATATTATAGATGAGGAAACTGAGGTAATATAACTTGTCCAGGGTAACAAAGTAAGTGTCGGAGGCCACATTGAACTTAGGTCTTCCTGACTCCAAGCCCACCACTCTATACTAGTTGTCTCTAAGCTTTAAATGTTGCTAATCTCTTTGATTTTCAGAATTTATATTTCAGTATTTAAAGTTTTTAAATTTACTGATTTACTAGGTTTTTTTTAATCATATGCCCAATTAATTGATTTTTTTTTCACTTTTGCTTAACAAAATATTTAGAGATACAAATTTTCCCCTAAGGACTGCCTTGGCTACTTCCCATAAATTTTGTTGTTATCTCATTCTCATTATTTTTAATGAAGTTATCTGTTGTTTCTCTGATGTGTTCTTTGACCTGCCAATTCTATAGGAGTAAATTATTTAGTCTCCAAATAATTTTGAAATTTTCAAGGGTCCTTTTAAGAAGTATAATTTTTGTTGAATTATGGTCAGTAACATGCCTGAAACAAAGAAAGTAGATGGTAAAAACTCTCCATTTCTCTAAAATATGTATACTCATTAGCAGACAAGTTCATTTGTCATCAAGTTAGAGGGTTTAGCTATTTAAATCTTAATCTATTAAAAAAATTACTACCAAAAAAAGATTTGTAAATAACAAAGGAAAACATTAATGTGAAGTACTTCATAATAATAATGATAATTAAGATGATTCACAGTGTCTGGCACATAATAAGCACTTAATAAATGACTACTGATTGAATAGTGATGACAATGGTGACGTAACACTAAACACAATAATCCTGAGTAATCTGACAAGGACAGAGCACCACAAAACTGATCACTTCCTTTGTTCTGGACATTAAATTACTCATCATCAATTTATTGTTTACAAATGCAATTATCATTAACAACGCTATGTGTATGTACACACACACAACTTTGAGATTTATAAAAAGTCTACATGCCATGAATTAAGAAACAATAACAAAAACAACATTTATATAGCATGTTAAAGTTTACAATATTAAATATTATTTCATTTTATTCTCATAACAACCCTGGGAAGTAGGTGCCATTATTATCATCCCTATTTTATAGATGAGGAAACTGAGGCAATGAGAGATTCAGTGACTTGCCCAAGGTCACATAACTAATAAGCATATGGGGCTGGATTTGAACTCAGGTCTTGTTGACACCAGATCCTGTGTTCTTATCCACTGAGCCTCCTAGCTGAGAAGCTAGAAGCAAATAAGTCTGGGGTTATTAACATTACTAAGCTTAAAATAACCCCAAAACAAACATTGTGCCTTTATAGGATGCTATGGCTCCCAAATTACAACCTATGCTCCTAGAAAGTAATATTTGTTTCTCTTTGTATTCTAGTGCCTGGAAGATAGCAGGTACTTAATAAAAGCTTCCTTAATTGAATGACTGTATTTACACACAAATATTCACTTCAGTTAAGTACTACCCAAGCATCCCTTACATTTTAACAATATTAGATGTCACTTCATAGCTGACACAGAACAAAGGAATTTTTTCTGATGTTTTGCTTGGAGACTAACTTTTTTTTTTAATCAAAAAGCAGAATCAATTTTGAAATTAGTTTTTTCTCAAATGAGATGGTACTGGAAAATATAATTTTAAAAACTTCATGACAACATAGAAATGTAAGATGTTGCTAATATTCTTTCTAATAATGTTTAAAGGGAGACATAAGTTTCTAATTTTTAGCTCTAAGTTACCTAGTGGTCAACGTATTTTAAACAGTTACCTTTAAGATAACCCTGAATGGGCCATCTTGAATAGTTCTGCAATAATCCCTAGATCAGTGGTGTCAAACTCAAATAGAAATGGGTGCCCTGAAACATCACATAAGGATCCCTGCTGGGAGGACGTGGTGTGCCAAAGGAAGGTGAACCCTTGCCAGAATAGAAGTTATAGGGGAAAATGAGAGGGGAATAAAGCTAGGGAAATTTTTTTTAAGACTGTGGGCTTTCTATTTTGCTCCCTGAGAGATTTTTCTTTAGACTCATGGCTGAACAAATGAATCAATAAAAGAAAAAGCATTTATTAAGTGCTTACTATGTATACTTATAGGTCTCAGCTGGCTATCTTCACAACTGGGCACTTTTAACTGTCCCTGAGGAGTATCTTTTCCAAGACTGCTA